TCAAAAAAAAAAAAAAAGAAAAGAAAAAAGAAAAAACATCTCTGAAAACATCTCAACTCTAAAAAAGGAATTGGACATCTAGAATCAGGAGGCCTAACAGACTTCAAATAAGTGAAATTCCTCCAAAAATGTACACTTAAATTTATTATAATGAAAGTGTCAACAGTTAATGATAAACGGGGAATTTTGAAAGCAGCAAGAGAAAAAATGACCTGTCACGTACAGGGGATCCTCTATAAGATCTCTCATGAGCTTATTTTTCAGCAAAATCTTGCATGCCAGAAGCAGTGGGATGATTTATTTAACGTGAAGGGGGAAAAAAATTGCCAACATAGAATAGTATACATGGAAAAAAAAATTCCCTTCAAAAATGAAAGCTAGGTAAAGACTTTCTCAGACCAAAACAAGCCAAGAGAGTTCATCACCACCCAACCTGCCTGACAAGAAATGTTAAGGGGAGTTCTTTAAGTTGACAAGAAATGATGATAACATAAAAGCATATAAAAGTATAAAACTCACTGGTAATGATGAATATATAGACACATGGTAATGTAATACTCTGAGAGTGGTAAGCAAGTCACTTTTAAATTCTGTACAAACGTTTTAAAAGAGTATTACAAATAACTATAAATATAAAATTATGTTCATGGATACATGATATAAAACGATGTTAAATGTGACATTAATAACAAAATGGTGATTAACCTAGCTGATGAGATGCTAAGGATTTTGTGATAGTTTCATGGTGGCGGAAGTCATGGGCCCTCCGAGAAGAAGAGCCCTGGTGATGCCACTGACTTAAGGCTGGTACTCCAAGGGAGTGAACCTTAAGGAGGAGAATGAATCCCAATTGGCCAGCCCTCAAAAGGAGCTGCAGCTCAACTTCACATCCTCTTAATTCCTGATATTGGATCGAGATGATCCAGGATTGCTAGGAGCTGTTAGTGAAAACAAAGGCAAATCATCTCTGGAAAAGATAACAACAAGCTAGTCTTCATTTTATTTTTAGAAACAATTTTACAAATACAAAGTTCCAACCACAAAGACCAACCAAAAGGAGACATAACCACAGAAAGAAACTTTAATAGAAACAATAGAAAACAGATACAGATCCACAGAGTTTCCGGAAATTCAGAGACTAACTTGAAAATTAAGCAATGTTACAGTGCCCAAGGAAATAAAAGGAGAGAAGGAAATTTCAGCGGAGAATTGGAAACGACGTCATTTTAAATCTTTGCCCTCACAAACAGGGCAATAGTGAATAGACTGGTGCATGTATATATGTAGAAGGAATATGTAGACAATAGAGATATGAAATTTCTGTGTCAAAAACATATGCAGTTGTAATTTTGGTAGCTACTTTGTCCTGCCTAGAAGTGTTACCAATGTATAGTCCCACCGACAAAGTAGTAAAGTAGATGTTTCCCTATACCCTTGATGACTCCTGTATCAATAAATTTTAAAAATATTTTCTAATATTATGGATGAAAATGGGTATCACTGTAATTTTTATTTGCATTTATCTTACTGGTAAAGTTGAATACAATTGCACATGTTTAAGGTCTATTGTTATTTTTTTCTGTAAATATCCGTTTAATTTTTCCATTGAATTGTTGATCTTTAAAAAAATGATTTATGGGAGCTCTTTATACATTGTACAAATTTGTCCCTGTTTTCTAAGATATAAATTGAAAATATTTTTTTCTCATTTTTGTCCCTGAGTATTTTGACTTTGGTTACTGTGGGTTTTGCCATGCCAAATTTTTTTATACTCATATTTGTATACATATTGTTTCTTTACTTCCAGTTTTTATATCATGTTTAAGAAAGACTTTGCCACTGTGACATTGTGTATAAGAAATTCCTATCATGGTTTATTCTTGCACTTTTACGGCTTGATTTTTTTTAAAACTATATTATTGATCCAACTAAATTTTTCTTTTGGATGACTCTCCAATTATTCCAATATCATTTATTGAGTTATTATTTTCTTCACTACACTCCTAACAACAAGCATGAGAGCTCGAATATTCCCACAACCCATAGCAATACTTGCTTGCTTTTCTGTATGCTGATATTTTTGGTTTTAATTTCTCCTGTGTAATGCCTGTTCATATATTCTTTCTAAGTATTCATTTTTAATGTATCTACATATTCTTCATAAAAAAAGGTCATACCAATTTCGTATTATCGCTAGGCAGGTTTCTCAATATGTTATTTACATTTGAAAGATTTCCAAGATTCCTTCAAGCATTACAATTTTGCAATTGAAAAAAACATTAAAAAATGATTTATATCAGGAGTCTCTGACTTTTATAAAAGGGATTTACTTTTAATTTTCCCACAAGCTGCATGGCTAAATGTGACACGAAAGTAACTTAGAATTCTAAAATACCTAGATGTTTGGACAATGTTTGTGTCCTCTCAAAATTCAAATGTTGAAATCCTAACTTCCTATGTAATGGATGTGGGGTCTTTGAGAGTTGATTACATCATAAGTAACAAGATTAGTGCCCTTATAGAAGAGACCCCAGAGAGAGCCCTTATCCTCTTTGCCATATGGGAATAAAATAAGAAGTTAGTAGTCCATAACCCAGAGAGGACCCTTGGTAGAGCCCAACCATGCTGGCACCCTGATCTTGGATTTCCAGCTGCAGAACTGTGAGAAATAAATTTCTGTTGTTTATATTCCACCCATTCTATGGTACTATATTACAACAGCCTCAATGGACTCAGACACTAAGGGATGAAGAGGGAGCAGGAAGTCAATGTAGGCACATCAATCATTTCAGAAACATATTTACTCACTAATTGAATAAACATCTACTAAATTTATTACATGCTGGGCTTTGTAATAAATGTTTGTGATAGAGATGACTAAGTCGCCTCCCTTGAAAAACACATGTCTAGTGGGGGAGAGATGCATGTATAAACAAGTGAATTGCAAGAATTACTACAGAAACATTAGCCAAGGACAGAGGACAGGTTTCTTCCACTTTATGACTCAGATTTTCCAGTGTTAAATTAACATGTTTACTATATGGATGACACATTTTCAGTCATATTAGGGGAGGAAAAAAAGAAAATAAAATGAGATTAAACCATTGACTTTTGTATTCAGTCAGCAAATATTTACTGATGACTCATTTTTTCATTATGCCAGGTGTTAGGGATAAAAAAGCTAGCAAATATTAAATGATAGCTTTCAAAGGACAAAGAGTTATCATGTGATTGTAAAACTCCCAGGAGCAGTAGTTCCCTATGGTCCATAGCAAAGTGATCCAGAAGGTTTAACATATTCCTTAGTCATCTATGTTTAATGTCAGGGATCATAATACGTGTCTATATATGGGAGTAAGCATTTTGATTTCTGACTGTGTTTGCATAACGCTAATTCCATCTGGTTTTGCTGAGAACAAACAGAGATGCATGAAAAAGAAGAAATGTTACGGCTCTGCTTGCACAGATAGTGACCTGACTCTTCCAGGGTCTCCTCAGGCAGAGGTGTCGTGAATAAGGTCAGTTCTGTTCAGTAATATTCCACCACTATGCCAGCAAAGAGATATTTTCCATGCAGACGAGACTGAGTACATTCAGATTTAATGGTATCTAACAGAAAAGCAGAAGTTGGTTATGAAAAATCTATGAAGAAGCTTGAAAGCTAGAGGTGATGTTGACTTTAAATGTAGATACGGTCACTTTATTTCCAAGGCATTGATGGAGTTCTTTGAAGCCCAGCGATTGTAGGAAAGAGTAATTTTAGACAGTTCTTTCTTTAAATTCCCATCAAGAAATATATTGGACATTGAAGTTGCCTTTCATCATTTTTCTACTCTTCCCTCATTATGAATCCATCAAAGATGTAGGTCAATTGGAATAATTCCACTCTACTTAGCATAGTGATTGGCTCATTGGGAGCCACACAGGGCTGCATGGAGGAGTACAATTGAACTAGGCTTTCAAGAGTAGAATTTCCATAAATGGAGAGCATGTCATAGGCAAAAGTGAAGAAACAGGAATATGCATGGTTTTTTTGGGAACTGTGAGCAAATCTTCTTTAACTAGAGCAAAATGTTACACTGTTTTTATCTCCCAGAGCTGTCCAGCTGATTAACCTCATTTCTCACATTCAGCAAGCAATTATTGAACGGTGCATAGTACTGTACTGAGTAATAGATAGGCTTCAAAGGAAGTTGCTTTTGGGTTGAAAAACTTTACTGCAAAGATAAACCCATTGATTTTAGAACTGAAAGCACCTATGAAATGATCCAGCAGAATTCATTCATTTCCAAGTACAGAAACTGAGTCCCAGATAGCTTAAATGAATGGAAGCAGCAATGTATGCAGAGAGAACCGTAAGTTTTAAGAGCCATTTAAACTCCCACTTTGATTTCCATCTCCTGCAAAGTGGCAGTATTAGCACAGGAAGCTGTTGTTGGGATTCAGGGAGACAGCATATGCGAAGCACCAGGCACGTAACAGATACTAAATTAATTTTCCTTTAATGTTCTCCCTTCACTTTATTGTGAGCAACATAGTGATTTCGTGGCAGAGTTAGAAATAAGAATATACTGCTTTGAACCTACAAGAGAATTTCCTCCTGCCCAGTACAGCAGTCCATTGTTAGAAATCCCATGAGAACTAACCTCAAAGGCCTCAAATTTCTCCAAAGAGCAACTTTTTTTTTCCCCCCACAAACTTATTTCTCTTTGTCCTGTGCATATACCAGGCTCATTCTTGCTTTTTTTTTTTTTTTCTTTTTTCTTTTTTAGACTGAGTCTCACTCTGTCACCCAGGCTGGAGTGCAATTGTATGATTTCAGCTCACTGCAACCTCCGCCTCCCGGGTTCAACCAATTCTCCTGTCTCACCCTCCTGAGTAGCTGGGATTACAGGCATACACGACCACGCCCAGCTAATTTTTGTATTTTTAGTAGAAACAGGGTTTCACTATGTTGGCCGGGCTGGTGTTGAACTCCTGACCTCAAGTGATCTGCCTGCCTCAGCCTCCCAAAGTGCCAGGATTATAGGCGTAAGCCACCAGGCCTGGCCTCATTCTCTTTTTTAGACCTGTGGACGTCTTATTTCTAAACCCCTACTGCTGCAGGAATGTCTTTCTTCCTTCTTTCTATCTATTCAAATCCTCTCCTTTATTCATTTATTCAGTCATTCAGTCTGAATGGGGTCAGTCCGTCATTAAACATGTGTTGAGTACTTACTGTGTGGCAGGCAACTGGTCTAAGGTTTGAGATTACAGTACTGAAGGGAATATCCCTGCCTTTAAGGAATCTAGCTGGGGCACACCCTAGTTGGAAAGCAGATATGTTCACTCCAGGAAAGGTAAGAAATAATGTTGTGAAGGTATGAGTATAATGCCTTGGGAACATGGGGCAAGGGAAGACTGACTCTATGTGAAGGGGCCTCTGCCATTATTCTACCCCAATTATACATCAATTGCCTTTTTTTTTTCTTTATTTTTGCCTCCTATTAACATATAAAGATGGCCACACACAACAGAAACCGTAAGTGTATATACTGCTCGCTATCATTGGATAAATGCCAGGATGTGGGTATAAGTAGCTATATCTAGCCAGAAAGGACCAAGGCAATCTAATCAAGCAGAATATGTTAATGAGGTACCTCAGGTTTATCCAGAAAAGTGAGTTATGCTTAGGGGTATAGGATGAGTAATTTCTTCACCAACAAACTTTAGAAGGGACCTAATGCAGGGTTTTAAAATCTTGCTTGCATGCCAGAATTATCTGGGGAACATTTGAAAAATACAGATGACTAAGCCCAATCCTAGACTTATAGAAGCACGATGTTTTAAAATAAAGTGCAGGAATATGGATTTTTAAGTATTACATGGGTGATTCTAATGATTAGCTAGTAACGGTTGGGAAGTGCTGGTCTATTTTGTGCCAACATTTGCAGAACACTGAGAACACGGACATGAATAAAATACTGTCGATTCTACTCCTGCCTTATAAGACAGGTCTCTATCCTGGAAAACCTGCCAGTCAGGTGGAAGGGACAGGCAAGGAAATATACAAAACCAGATATCTTAGAGAAATAGATATAAAGTGAGGTTGCAACACAGAGATAGAAAGGACCAACTCACTCTTGGGAAAAGCAGGAAGTTTCTTAGAATATGGTGCATTTGAGATGAGATATAAAGGACTTGGGGGTTTCTCAAATGAAGGGGGTGAGAAAAGACATTCCAAGCGTAGACTTGAGCCTCTGGCTCCCACTGGACTTAGCCAGCAAGTCTAAGAGGTGCCTGAGTTATAAAGATTGGGGTACTTATACTCTGGAGCCAGGCTCTTAGATGTGTCTGAGGTGGAAACTGATGTTCATCATTTATGTCACTAATTTACACCTGTTTCATATATCATTTTCATTTCATTCAATCAGACATTTCCTGGGTGCCTTTGTACCTAGGAGACATTCTCAAACAGAATTTGCAATGGGAACACACAAGATGGACAAAAATTCTCTCGAATTTGAAGCCCAAGAAAAACTTCCTGAGAAAGATGATGCTAAAGTTAGTCTTAAAAGTTAGAGTTCTCATAAAAATGAGAAAAGGCGGAAAAGGGCTGAATTGTTTTGCGAGTATTACACAATGCATGGAGATGAGAGTGAATTCTACACATGCAAGGACCTTCATGTCCTATGAGGCTGGACCATGGCATTGGGTAAGAGATGGTGGCTATGAATTAGCCTGGGGAGGAAGGTCTGTTTCAGGCTGTTAAAAGATTTCTTATGCTCTGCTGGAGTCTGAACTTCATGTAGGCGGCCTTGGGAAACCCTAATTATTTAATGCAGGGCAGATGAGGTCTGATTTACTTTTCCAAAAGGTCATTCTGAGCACATATATCTTTTTTTTTTTCAGCAGAATTGTAAACATCCTCTCAACAGACATCACATCTTGATTCATTTCTTTTTGTTTCACCAGCAAGTGCTTAGCAGAGTAAGTGGCACACGTTTTGAGAGGTCAATAGTTAATGGATTCATTAATTGATTGGGAGGTACAAACCCATCCTTGAGTGAATGCTATAATATGGACTCTATATCCTATGCTGTGGCTAATATTTGGATATCTCAAGCAATCTTAAGCCATGTTTCTTAATTTTAACATGCACACAAATCACCTGGGGATCTTGTTAAAACAGAGTTCTTAATTTATTATATCCTGGGTAGGGTCTACGATTCTGCACTTGTAACAAGCTCTCGGATGTTGCTGTGCCTGCTGCTGATGTGGATTTCCAATTGTGAGTGGCCAGGATCTTAACACTCAGTTGCCTTATTCAGGAAATCTCTGATAGTGGGGTTGTTTATGAACTGTGAAACTTTCTACAGGGATTTTAGAAATGGAGAAGTTCCACCATGAGAGACTCCTCCTTGACTAAGACTCCACACAGCTCCTTTGGGACTGGTTTTGAAGGCGATGGCAGGTCTTTCATGCCCCTGGGACAAACATTGATATTATTTGCCTTTAAGGGAATTTCTGGTGCTGCTGCCAGTTTCTTCTTTGCTCTGCCAAGTATTGAGTTCCACAAGAAAAATCCATTAGTAACAGCAGAGTTGATAATAGAACAGCAGATAAAGTCAAAGGGCTCTAAAAACAGCGTGCTATCAGCGTGTAATTTGTTTAGGCCTATGTAGAATAAAGTCCTTTCTCATGAATTTTCAAGTTTGAAATTTGATTATAAACCAGTTTGTCATTTCTTGATATTTTCCTTTTCTTCCCTGTTCATTTTTACATACTTAATTGTCATATAATGGCATTCTGGATGTCCCTTGGACCTCGCCAGCGTGTAGACACAAAGACAGCCACATCAGTTAGGCTGAATTCTTCTGGCTCAATGCCACTCATTACTGTGAGCAGGAGCTTTGTTCTCTGACCTCTCTAGTGGCTCTCAGAGAAGCCCCAGGCTATGCTCGATGTTAGTGTAGGCGGTTGCTTACACTTTTTTCATCATCTAGCAATGGACCCCCAATGGCTGCTCCATCCTCATATGGCTTCCAACAATGCTGCCCTGGCATCCACTCCATGCACGGGTAGGGACATCCCTCCCTTGGACTGAAGCTGACCTTTCTGAGCCTAAGCTGGTAGGCAAATACTGTCTTTTCTGAGCCTAAGCTGGGAGACACTCAAGGGTAGCAGTAAAGGGAATTGTCTCTGGAGATGGAATGCCACATATCAGCTATATGATTTGTGCAAGTTGTTGAATCACTCTAAACCTCCGATTTCTTACCTGTACAATGAGAATAACTAGAGTTCTATAATCTCAAGATTGCTGAGAAAATCTTGTTGGCACAAGATTATTGTTGGCACATATAAAACAATACATGCTAACCATCATTCACTGGTTTTCTTTTTATCACCGTGTCCCAGCCTGGGCAAGCTTTATTTTTATTTCACCACAACACAGCTGAGACCAGTTAATAACATCTAATATGACATGGCTGATGGCTCAGGAATAAGAAGAAGGGATTAAAATCAGAGGAAAGTGCAGCTGCTATTTAATATGGAGGCTCTCAGCTGCAATAGCCCCAGGGGTATGCTTCTGGGGGTGTCTTTCAGGGACCTTCTTGCCTCCCTGCAGGACTGTCTTTGTCAGAAGACATCTTTGCCATAAGTCAAAAGAATATCCTTGAACTTATATCAACTCCTTTTAGTCCAAGCTTAGAGATGAGAATTGTTATCTTGGGGTTCATTTCCTTTTCTGGCATGATCTCCTTCTCAGGGTTTCCTTACCCCACTGCCTCTAAAATGATTTTTCTAAAACACATTTATTACTTCACTTTCTCCTGAAAACCACAGGTTGTCCCCCTGGCACTTAGGACACAAAATTCCTATTCGCACAAGAGGTTCTTTATGTGTGCTGATCTTTCTTTGTGAGGTGCACTTTTCTCCTGGTTTTTTCTTTTTTCAGAAAATGTCCATTCAGTGCTCATGGCCCGGATAAAACCTGACTTCCTCTGTGGATTCTTCCTGGAATTGTCTGGCACACTATATCCCCAAATCTCAGCCAGGCTTCCTCCTCCAGGCCCCATGACACTCCGCACCTTACTGCGTTAACATCATAACGTGTCATAATTTTCCTCCAGTTCTGCCTCTCCCATTAAAGTTGTGCTCTGTGAAAAGGGATGCTTTATCTTATTAATTGTAGTATCCAGTGTGGCACACAGTATCTGGTCATATGGGTGGCCGGTGAATAAACTAATATTTACTGGGCATTTTGTGGGCTTCCCGTTCATCTACTCTGATAAGTACTGTAGATCTGTGAGATAAGTAGGGCCGGTATTACTCTGATCTCCAGTTTATATATGAGAAAAGGAGGTTCACAGAGTCAGGTACCTTGTCCACAGTCACTGGGTCAGCTAAGCCAGGTAAAAGAAGATAGATTTGGACTCAGACCTTTAACTTTAATTTCAGTGTCCACTTTCACTACTTTGTACTGTTTCCTTTGGACAGAAACTAAATCCTGGTAGATAAAGGGGAAGACCTAAAGGAAGACAAGACAAGGGACTAAGGAAATGTTGGGGAAGATGAGAACACACTCAGAAACCACAACTGAAGAATTCCTAGGACTCCCAGGTAAAGCTGCTTGGGTGTAATACATCCTTGGGCATATTGTTGACTGACTTTTAGGCTTGAGGGAAGACTTTGTTTTAAACAAGGTGGATGGAAATGAAGGTGTGGAGAAACACCATGAGAAAGATTTTAATGCAAAGCCAACCCAAGCACCATCTCTCAGAGCCTCATTTCTTTTCAGCAGCTCTCTGGATTGTTCTAAGAGGTGATGGGTAATTTTATAAAAGTCTTAAGCTGTTGTTAAGAGATCTTTTTAAAGCTGAAGGCAAAACAAACAAACATGATATCCTACAAAGCTGAGAATAAGCTTCAGAGAGAGGGAAGGCAGCAGAAATAGTTACTGGGATGGGGAAAGAGATCGCAATGTACCTTGTCTCAAGCCCTGTGAACACTGTCGCCTCACCCACTTGCAAAGTCCCGTGGGCAGCCTGAGCTTGGCTAAGAGGGGAGGCAACAGAGACGCCAGGATGGGAGAGCTCGGAGCTATTTCGGACTCCAGGCCAACATCCACGGAGACCTTGAGTTACGTCATCGGAACTGTCTGGACTTTGGTCCCCTTATGCCAAATGCGGTTTCCGGAAAAAGGATCCTCAGCGTATTTGGAAGCTCATCAACTAAAAGTTGTCTCGTCACTTTCATGCGTGAGATCTTTTCATTTGTGAAGAGCATATTATTTTGCTTAATTATGGGCTGTGAGGAGATGGCATAGAGCAGTGGAAAAAGCCTGGGCTCTGGAGTCAGAGAGACCTGGGTCTGAATCATGGCTCTGCCATCCACCAGCTACAGGACACTGGCCTGGTGGGCCTGCTTCCTTGTCCATAAACTGAGAATAATCTTGCAATAATTAACTATCTTAGAGGGAGGTTGTTAGGATAAGATAATAAATGCACGTCAAGAATCTTGTTCTGCTGTTCAGATATTGAATCATCATTTGCCATTATTAATAAAGTATCTGACTTTTAATACAGTAACATTTAGCATATGAGATTTCTCATTCACTCTAACAGTATGGGTATAGTGGTGTACATAATCTCCTTTTGCTTGTGAATACTGCTAATATTAAATTCCCATTTCTCAAAGACGTTTTCTTATATGGAGTCTTACTGATGATGATTTTCAGCACCCTGACAATTTGTTGTTTTTAAATACTTACAGTTTATTTTGTAATCATCTATGCCATAACTAATTACACTTTTTTTTTTTCAAGGAAAGGGGCATATCCAGAAAGGAGATAAGATCGGAAGCCTTTATTTCCACCATTCAGTCACTCACTGCCTGAGACTTCATTTCAAGTAAGGGGATAATATTTGGCCCCTATGTATCTTACAAGGGTTGTTTCCCTAAGAAAAAAAATTAGGTAAGATCATAAGTGAGAAAGGAGTTTTTGAATTAAATATATATACAAATGCAAGTTATAACAATTTTTGTTCTGGATATTTTTGCAGCAGATAGAAAAGTTCTTTGTGCTGTGGCCACCTGCCTAATGCTGTTGACTGGCTGGTAATAGATGCCTGGGAGTCATTTTGAGGTTACTTAGAGCCTCTTTCCACCACCAGATGGAAGGAAATTGGGCAACTTCTTGAGTAATTGGCTCTTCTGACTCACGTTTCTTGCATTGTGACCTGGGTGCTACCCAGGATGAGCAAGGAATTTCCTCTCTGGAGTTGTTTAAGGAATAGCCCTAAACATTCAGCTTCATCTTTTTTTAATGCCTCCTCTAACACTATCTGAGCAGCCACAGAAAAGTATTTGCTGCTGCCGTATTTCAGATCAGCTGAGATATATTTTGAGTAAGTACTCTGGGAAAGGCACAGAATACCATTTCTTTACTGAGGTTCTCTTCAAGGATTTCCATCCCCCCTTAAAGACCTAATTGGGATGGAGCAATGTATTTAGAACATGATGTGAGTACCAACAAGGAGTCAGGAGACACCTTTCAGCTGTACTTCTTTATTCTTCCCCCCTTGCTTCCTCTGTCTCCGGTTTGCCCTTTTACATCTCTTCTTTTTCCTTTCTTTTCTTGTAATACTTTCTCTTGATCAATAGACCTGCCGTAGCCTTCCCAGACATAAATTATCAGCTTCCTTAGAAGGCCTCGGAATGTGAACAGTTGTAGCCAGTTAGTCCAGGTCTTAGATTCTCACCCCTTGCTGTGTATGTAATTATCCAGGGAGCTTAAAAGGTACTGAGCCATGGGCCCCAATGGAATCATTATTCCTGGGGGGTGGGATGGGCCCTAGACCTGGTATTTTCAAAAACTTTCAAAAATGATTCTAAAACATATGCAGGTTAAACTGGTTGCAGACACCCAGGAAGCAAAAATATGACAAAACTACCCTAAAAGTAAAATAAGATTTTTGGCTCAAAGTGCAGTAATCCTGTTATCTGGCCACCTTATTTGTGTCCTATTCATCAAATAAATGGATTTGTTTTGTTTTTTGAGAACCACAGAAAGAAAAATTGGTCATGCCCAGGCAAATCTTACAGGTGAGTTCTACATTTAAGGCAAGTGGCCATAAAACACTTCTACAGCTAATATTTGTTGAGAGCATGTTCTGAGTCATGTGCTATGCAGAATACGTTTACCATACATTGTCTCATTTAATCCTCTCAACAACTCTGAGGCATTATTATTCTTCTGGGTTTACAAATGAAGAAAGAAAGGCACCAAGCAATTGCTTAACTCGCTCAGCACCTGACCACTAGTTAGAAGTGGAGCTGGGAGATTTGAGTATAAGCAGGTAGACTGCAGAATCTCCCTGTTAATCATCGTGTTATATATCCTTTACACTGTGACAATTAAGGTAAAATTACAAAAATTCATGAGAGCAGTAGTTCTCAATCTTGCCTGCATAGTAGAATTGTTGGGAGAGTTTTGGGAAAAAAAAAAAAGAAATCCTTTGCTCAGGTCATGTGATCAACCAATTTAATCCATATCTGATATGGTTTTGCTGTGTGCTCCTCGAACTCTCATCTTGAATTGTAGCGCCCATAATTCCCACGTGTTGTGGGAGGGACCCAGTAGGAGGTAATTGAATCACGGGGGCAGTTTCTCTCATACTGTTCTGGTGGTAGTGAATAAGTCTCACGAGATCTGATGGTTTTTCAAGGGAAACCCCTTTCACTTGGTTCTTATTCTCTCTTGCCTGCTGCCACGTAAGACATATTTGCCTTCCGCCATGATTGTGAGGCCTCCCCAGCCACATGAAACCGTGAGTCCATTAAACCACTTTTTCTATATAAATTACCCATTCTTGGGAATGTTTTTAGCAGCATGAAAATGGACTAATATCATATCTCTCAAGAATGTGACTCTTGGGAGGCCAAGGTGGATGGATCACTAGGTCAGGAGTTCTAGACCAGCCTGGCCAACATGGTGAAACCTTGTCTCTACTGAAAATACAAAACTTAGCTGGGCGTGGTGGTGGGCACCTGTAATCCCAGCTACTTGGGGGGCTGAGGCAGGATAATCGCTTGACCCCAGGAGGCAGAGCCTGCAGTGAGCCGAGATTGTGCCACTGCACTCCAGCCTGGGTGACAGAGCAAGACTCAGTCTCAAAAAGAAAAAAAACAAAAAATTAGACCCAAGCATTTTAAAAGTGTGCCCCAGGTGACTCTATGTTACAATCAAGGTTGAAAAATACTGGATTAGAGGAATGAGAACAATACAGATGAGAATCATCAGGGAAAGCTTCACAGGTGAAGTATTGCCAGAACTTGTCCTGTGGCAGGCAGAATAATGTTCTCCCTGACCCAAGATGTCCACATCCTAATCCTTGTGACCTTTGAGTATGTTACCTTCCATGACAAATAGGAAGTAAGATTGCAGATGGAATGAAGGCTGTGAATCAGCCGACCTAAAATGGGAAAGTAGCTTGGGTTATCCAGGTGGACCCAATGTAATCTCATGGGCCCTTAATGGAAGAGGGAGAGAGAAATGAGAGAATCAGAGTCAGTGGCCTCAGAAGGACTTGGCCCAATATTGCTGACTTTGAAAATGGAAATGGACTCTAGGAATGCAGGTGGCCTCTAGAAAATGAAGAAGGTCAGGAAGCAGATTATCACTCAGAGAGAGTAAGCAGAATGGACATGTTTTGGCCAACATGATTCTAATCCAGTGAGACCCATTTTGGGCTTCTGACCTCCAGAATTACATGGGAAAAAAAAAATTGTAGTGTTTCATGATGTTATTTGGCAGAGAAAATAAGTTGTATTTTTAAGAATTTGTATGAGACTGTTAGTGTTAATCAAGAATAACTGGTTGAAATAAAAATAATAAAGGTAGTAATGATTTTGAGAAAAAAGTATTGTTAAAGCCACTGTTCGTGGAAATTTGTTTCAGCAGGAAATTAGTACAGTGGCTTAATAAAAAGGGAGAATTTAGAGAAAATATATGGTGGGAATGAAAAATATGTGTTTAGCTACAGATTAGATTTTTATGTTGAAGCACAGCATATATTTTGGAGAATTACACGAAGCCCTTGATAGCTAAGCAGAAAAATGTGGTTATAAGAACAGAGGAGGCAAATGTACTGGAGTTTACTAATAACAAGGTATGTTGTGGATCATACATGTACTAGGCACCTACATATCTGCTCTATGAAATCCCTCTACGATGTAGACATTTGTAACTTGTAGCTGAACCATGATTCAAACTCAAGGCTCTGGACTCCAGAATTAGTGTTCATTCCAGTTACCACACTGTGCCTTTCCTCCTTGCTAAGACCATTTGGAATGCTAGTGATTTTTCTTATCTCCCTGAAGCACATGGCAAGGAACTGTGATCTCACAGAGGACCTCATGGTGCAGAGACAAAGGGTTCTTGTACAAGTTTCTTAGAGGAAAAAATAAGTGGTGATAACTAGGATGTTTAAAGAAAATTGACCTGACAGTTACATGCAAGAAGGATTGTAGTTGGTGAACCTAGAGGCAGGCAGAACAGTCAGGAAGTTTGACAATAACTTAGGCTCCTGAGGGTTTGAACTCTGAGTGGCAGTGGATGTGGGAGTGAAGGGGAGATGAATTCAGGAAAACTTGAGAAGAAAATCAGTTGAAGGGAAGATAACTTGCTTGAGAAGGGCAAAAGCACGGCATAGTCAAAGACAATTCCAGGTTTTCAAGTCTGGCAAGATGAAAAGATGTTTGGTGGTGTCCCTGACAGAACTGGGAGTGTTGGAGAAGGTAAGAAGTTTGGGGGTGGGGTCAGGTGGTGTAAGGTAATAATAAAAATCTTTTACATAATAAAAGGTTTGCCTGGCCTCTGTCCCTGGTTTCTGGAAGGGAGACTTTAAATCCTTGGACCATCCCAGGTGATGAAGAGTGTCTTTGTTATGCTAATAAGATAACTTATGATAGACCCGTAGATGATTTTGAACAGGGACTGGTCAGCAGAAAGACCAATGATGTTGATTAGAGTATTGGAACTCTGAGTTGGCCTGACTTCTGGGGAAAGAGAGGACTGGATATTGAATTCAATCATGTGGTCAATGACTTAATCATGCTCATGTAATGAAACTCCAATAATAACTAAAAGGTGTAGCTTCCTGGTTGGTGCACACATTATTGCTGTGCTGTGGAGGTAATATGCTGATTCTATAGGAATAGGGTATGGAAGCTTTACATCTGGGAGCCTCCCGGATCTTACCGCTATGGATATCCTTTATAATAGAATTGTAATCACAAGTATAATGCTGTTCTGAGGTCTGTAAGTCGTTCTCATGAATTATCAAACCTGATGGAATTGTGGGAACCCCCAATTTGTGGCCAGTCAAAACCGTGGTGGCCAGGGGACCTTCTGAAACTTGTGGCTGGCATCTGAAGTGCGGGCAGTCCTGTGAAGCATTTTGCCCTTACCTGGGAGATCTGCACATACTCTGACTAGTTACTGTCAATTAAATTTTAGTTCACTCACTTTGGGGTGGAAACAGAATAGGTGGACGTTAAGATGACGTTAATTCCTGTCTGTAGGCAAAAGACGGTTATGTGAAACCAGTTTCCACTTAATACTGAGGCAAAAAAAAAAAAAAAATCAGAGAAAATTAAATGCAACTTTTAAATATTCACTTCTTGATTTCTGATTGACCTCTCTCTGACTTCCACAATGACTTTTTGGCCCAGTGTGATGGAATAAAATATCAGGGGTTTTAAAGACAGAAATGAGTTCAGATTCTGTCCTTGTCAGTTACTTGTTATGAAATAGCAGGCATGTAACTTATTCTTTTTGGATCGTAGTCACTTATCCTAAAATGAGAATATTAATGCCTAATTTGTAAAGCTGTTAAGAGGATGAACATAAAAAGGTAAGCTCTTGGTACGTAAGAGATGCACAAAGAATGTTATTTTCTGCTGTCCTTTATTTCCAATTGCAATGGTTCTTTCTGAGAGAGATTCTTTTATCCAGATTTATCAGAAGGGAGTCAAAGTGATTGATGTGGCTTCACGGAGCTTTCAGCGAACTCTCTGACTTTGGGGGATATGCTAACTCATCCTCTCAAAAGTCGGTGGCTGTTAGAGAGTTTTGTTCTAAGAAGAATTTTACAGTAATTGAAGAATTTGTAATCTCTGCCATGTATGTGAAGAGAAAAGATCTCTGCAATGCCTGCGTCAGCTTGGCACCACATTTGTCACTGACTAGCTGAGCTACAGGTGTTTTGTGAATGATCTCAACGGCACCATTGCAAGAGTCATACTATATACGTAAGTGATTTTTCCAAAGAGACCAAACAAGTCTGAAGCCCAGAATGACAGCCAGGCCCTTGGATTTGTCCTTGTATCCTCAGCTTTCCTCTCCTTACTTGCCTTTCTTCCACTTTGTGGTGAGGTGGTTACAGCTGTGAACCAAATAACTGGCATAGTTATCTTGAGGAATGCTCCTGAATCATCACCCTCAAAATGATTACATGAAATGGTTGGGCACCATCTCTTTTGCGAATTTATCTCTTGTGAAGAAATGTTAATACATGCTTTAACTATGACATACTGTGATAGAAACTTGTAGGGAATGTCCAAATAGGCTTTTGAGGTTTTATTCCACCTATTAGGCATATAGGGAGACTGAGTCCCAAAGTAATCAAGTGACCTGCCCAAGCCATACTATTTAAGAGAAGAGACAGGATTTGAAATCAAATGTCTTACTCTGAAGCCATTTTTGAAAGACTGTAACTTATTTCTAGGTGGAATCTGCTCCTGTTTTCTTTTTATTCTCAGACTCTATCTGATTTTATTTTTTCTAGACAATTTATTATGATATTTTTTATTCTTTAAATATAGCTTAGTCAACAGAGCTTATTTTCAAATTGTTTGTAAATAATATAGTACTAGATACACTAAAGTGCCAGTCTGCTGGCTTTAAGGTTTTTTGTTGTTGT